ATTTTTTTTTATTGAAGAAAATTTAGAGTTATGAAACAAACAAACAACATTTTTTTTTACAGTTAATTAGAGAACGTTAAAATAATATTCAGCATAAATCATAATATTTTATCAAATTAGTTGTTTATCTTTAAGTAAATAATTTTATCATTTTAATAATAATCGTAGAAGTAAATGGTACAGTGTAAACCAATATGGTTTTGTTAACCGAACAAGGTTGAACATTAAAAAATTTAAATAGATTTGAAGAAAGTTTTAAGATTGTTTTACGAATTACGACTGCCATTAAATAACTAGAACAGTAACAAATAGATGATGATTGGATCATTTTCATACTATTTTTCGCCCATCTCTAAATTTAGATTCTCACGGTGGCAATTGCTTCAATCGAGATAAGTCATCAGTTCATGTGCTTTACTCCTGGCCAATTGTTTTTTTTACTATATAAAATCTCCATATTGAGAGTACTCCACGTCGATAAATTATACCTATGATAATCATATAAATAGTTAAACTTTTTTTTTTTTGTGCAAATATAAATAGTTAAACTACAATACAAATTTCTTGTGGTAAAACCGTAGAACAAATTACTTTATACAAATTTGAGTCTTAAAGTGGCATAGGCATCCTATAAGATCGACAACAAATCGTTCCAATAATACAAGAATTTTCGATATTGTGAATCTTTGATCACGTAGTATACTCACAGTCAAATGTTTTAAATTTATTGAGTTCGGAGATAGGTGAGACACACACACACATGACGGTCAAAAATCTCAAATTGTAGGTATTGATCAATCACCCAACAGAATTATCATCATGTTGAAATGTTTGAGCATCATGGCCTAGCTAGTATCTCTTGACATAGATATCCAATATGTCGCTTGATTCAAATCTAATATATAAAATATTTTAACCTACCTACACATGAAAAGTACAAGTAAGAAAAAAAAAAAAAAAAAGTACAAGTAAGAGTTAACTATCCTATATTAATCTTCAAAATATAACTGTAAATGACAAAAGTCACAGCCTTATAATACATGTTGCTTATTCATATTCTTACTTGTAATTTTGTAAATACTTCTCTTTTATTTGTTTTTATTTTTTTTTCATTTGACACCTTGGTACGTACTTCTTAATAAATAGTAATATTTATATATGTTTTCTCGCAATGCCCAATTTTAAATAATTTGTTTTTTCCTAAATGACAAGGTTAGGAATTAAGATTGTATTTTTTTTTTTTTTATGCTTACGTAAGAGATGACATGTCGTATTGTTTATACCTTGGGTCGTTTTGTCTTTTCCATCGTATTTGTCTTCAACGAAAAACTAAATTATAATGGCCAGAGATTACGTCGAGGAAAGGGTTCTTATATATTTTTTGTAACTAATTTCTTGAATTTCGATCCATTGGATTTTATAGATACGTGGAATTTGGATTGTTATGATTTATATTATTATAAGTTTGTGGAAGTAAATGTAAATGGTATTTTGTTTGGACCGTTGTAAAAACTAAACCATTCGACTAGTTTTTATTCGATTTTCTTCATAGTACAAGTGTACAACTACAAACAAATTGCATTTGAGGTTTGATTTACCACTCTATTTTTTCATGGGCCTCGGAAGTTAAGAGTTTTCTATAACAAATTGAAATTACGCCTTGACGTCTCTTGATGGGCCTTAGTATTTGGGCTTAGCTAGGTCTTTTGTTTTAGTTTTTTCGGCCAGGATCCATCGAATAAACTCTTATTACCGATTCAATTCATTTGTTCGGCAGAATAATTAGCGGCGGAATATCCATCTCTTTTTTTTTTATAACCCAGATATCCGGTCCCACCGAAGTAGTCCGACTATCGTCGTGTCCAAACGGAACTGACGTGGTCTTAGAGCCTGTAGCCGTTATATGAATTCCGTAGTAACCAAGAATCGAACCCAAGTGCTGGAGGTCTTTTACCACTAGGAGACAACTCCTGGTTATCTAACTTGAATACCTTATTTTTTACTGTGACTAAAAACAAAAAAAAAACAAAAAAATTAAAATGGATCGTTTAACATCAATAGAATATAGCTCATATTTAATCCCGATTTTAGTTCAAGGACACGTGAAACCAGATGTCCGAAAAAAGAAGAAATTTGTCTACAGGGAATAGTTACGTGGTGCCACTTCTTCCATGAACTCCACCTACTACTGCCAGACAAATTCCATGCATTCCAGTTTTCGACAACACTTCAATATCTTATACAAATCGAATCAAAAGTTTGGTTCATTTATGTTTTCCGTGAACTGTCATCAATTATGCCTTGATCAGTTGAGGTTTGTTGTTCACATGATTTAAATTATCTTTCTTGTTTCTCTCAATAGAATCTGTTTGTAATTTACCTATTCTTAATTTCTTTATACACCAGATTTTGAATAAATCTTCAAACCAACTGGCAAAATTGATCACAAATTATCATGTACGTCTTTAAAAATTATCATACTATCTCGCTAAAACTCAAGTCGAAACACTACTGGTTATGGAAAGTGATGGATTTGTTTTTTTTTTGTGCACAAGAAAGTGATTGATTATCTCTTGAAATACATGAAGTTGGTACCAACTAATAATCGAAGCTAAATAGGAACTCATGCACACATACTTTATAAGTAATTATGTTTTCTACAACAACGAAGAGGCAGAAAGCAAAACGAAAACATTCGACGGAAAGAAAGAAAAGCCTCACGGAACCCAACACGCTCTTCAACTAGCTAGTAAGTCCAACGAACCATTGCAGCGATCGCAGTCGCAATGACAAACGCAAGGAAAACACTCTCACCATCTCCAAGTCTTGCAGCAGCAGACGGCCTTGGTGGAGGCGGCGGCGGGATTGCAGGTGTCTCCGGTGGAAATTCTGGCGGAAATTGCGGCGGAGGCAAATCGGGAGACGATGGTCTGCCTGTGGTGTTGCAGTTGTTGTGGCCGTACCAAGTGTTTATTTGTGGGACGCTCTTGCTGAAGTCGAATTTAACAGACTTTGAACCTTCTGAGTAGATTTCGATGGACTCCGGGACCCAACCGTCGGGTCCATTCCGGTTGATATAGAGAGAGCAGATAGGGTCATTCAGACATTGACCTCTCACTTGGAATGTGTTCGTTGAACACTTCCCCAAACCCCCTGCTCCTCTTACGGAACCGCCTAGTTTCGGTGCATACACCTAAAACAAAGAAGATATTTAACATTTTATTGAAATCACTGCAAAGTTACTTGTATTGAGCACACATGCAAATAAAGACTATTTCTTATACAACCTAAAACAACGAAAATATTAGTAAAATGCTAAGTTACATGTATAGAGCGCACATGCAATTGCTTGCATCAATCTATAATAATAATTATTTTTTTCTTTTTGGGAAAAAGATCCACATTTTCAAATTAAACCATGATCTTTCAAGCTCTAAACCACTTTGGAGCAAATAAAAATGGAGACTTAAGACTATACAAAAAGGGCACACCAAACCGTACTAGTAAAACCGGAGTTAGTCTATCGGAGATACTTAACCTTGTTACCATCGGCATCGCCAAAAACGATGCTGATCTGATCTCTTGTCGACTCCGGAGAAAGGCAGCTTGTCATGACAACCACTGTGTACGGACATGTTCCCTGTTGCATCTACATGATTTTCACAAAAAAAAAAAAAAAAAACACAAATATACAGGAATGTGAGAGAAAACCGGTTATGGTTATTTTGTTAACCATAAAATAGAAAACAAGAAGAACCTGGATGATGCTGAGGTCGAATGCATGCGTAACGAAGACGAAGGCCAAGAAGAGAAATGAGGCAGAGAGTGAAGGGAATGTCATTTTAGTTCAGAGATTTGTGTGTGTTGTGATTAAGAGAAGAGATAGATAAAGAACGAAGCTAGCTCTCGTGATGGTTATATATAAATTATAAATGCCCTGATGTTTGTTGTCATCAGCTGCGACTAATTTTCTCATGGACACCACACTTGGCACTTGTAATATCAATCCATTGAGATGCAAAATTAAAATTCCAAATTGTTTTTATTTTATTTTACTACTCTCTTACAATTTCTTAAATTATTTCGTAATCATTTATCGTGTTTCTTTTTACCCCTTAAAAAATCACAACGCTTTAATTTATGTCACCAAATATACCCGCTATAATAAAAATCAATACAAATTACAAAATTGTCTTTCATCAGCGAGAGAAACAAGTGAAATTGCTGTTTGCAGACAAATACATCACTTTCAGAACATCCATGCATGTTCATTTCTTTTGAATAAACTGAACAATTACAACAAAAAACAACGTTTTCTGATAAGTATATTGCTCCCCCATAGTAATTTTGTTTTAATACTATTTTTTTTTAGTTTTTAGTGTGGTAGTAATATTGGGCCAACATTTGGGTCAGGATTAGGCTTGGATACAGTCATACAGAGTGGCAGCCCCTTCACGTTACCGGTAGTAAGTTAACAATCAAGATATGACACAACCATTATTGCATCTCAAATTACTACTCGATCGGAACTGCATTAATTTGAAACTGGTTATAAAGTTCTTTTTTCTTTCAAGAAACTGGTTATTAAGTTAAAACTAATTTTCATGCTCAAACTTGTTGGATATATATTATATACTCAATGACTACGTGTTGTCACGATTGCTGCTTGATATTAATATAAGATGTACGAGAGATAAGACATATGGATGTCACACTGAGATCCGAACTCGTATAGTTGGAGTTGTTTCCTTTTCTCGCATACAATTACATTCGATGAAGACAAGTTAGTTTTTCTGTGTGTTGGTTTTAAGGATAAGTTAGTTTTAAGATTCTTAAAAGGTGAATTAAATTCACAGATAGATAAATCTAATTTTTAAAACATACTGTAATAAATTTTATAATAAAAGATATTATACGATTACATGTAATACTTTTTGCCAGAGTAATGTTACATTGAAGGAAAAAATAAATCGAATTATCTTATATATTGGTAGAAAATACTGTAAATGTTTTAAACATAGGTAAATTAAAATTACTTCCCATGCATGCAGACCAAACAATCTTCACAGCTTTTGTCACAGCTTTTACTACATATTTTGGGCCTGTTTGATCACGCCACGTGGATCTGGTAAAATCCACGCTTGTCTTCTCTGATTGGCTCTTCACTGTAGGCATATAAGCTAGTCTGCTATATAACTATAATAAGTCCCCTATATATATACGTAAGTCTTCCTATATAAAAGCAATGTAAAGAAATGCTTGCCTGAATAAGTGAATTAGTTTCAAAATAAACAAATGTTTCTTATGTGGGTATATGATCAAATCTCATTTATTTCCATGCATATCAATAAATAAAATCCGCAAAGCTTGGAACGTGGTGAACAGTGAATATGTGTCATTACGTCTAAGAAATTTATAGTTCGTACCGACTAATTTCCTTAACTATGCCATTTTTCACTCAAGATTTTGATTATATATACTAACTGTCCGGTATTAACAACAAAAACCACACCACTGATCATATATACTAGACCACTACAACTAACGCAGCACCTCATTTATTTATTTTTTGGTAAGACGCTGCACCTCATTTATTGTTTTTTTTTTTTTTTTTTTTTTTTGTTAAAGGCCTCATTTATTGTTTCGACGCAAGAAACATTTATTAAGAGGGAACATACTAAAAAACAATTGAATTGGTCTAGTTTAGACTACTGTAGAATGCGTGCAGATTGGTCTAGTCACATATTAGAACCATGCAACGTTCGAGTCTAAAAGCCTAGAGTTGCTTATATAGCTGAACATTCACGAGATTTTTATATCCTGTGGATATACGAGCCCCATCTCCTTTTACGTTTTTGTGGATTTACATAAATCTTTATGGTCACCGAGTCTACTGATTTTACTGTCGCAGCTAATTTCCATTACTTAATTTTCTATATTTTCACAGTTTGAAAGAAAAGTTACTGTTTATTCAGCTCAATTATAAAGATTAGTTTGATTAGTTTAGCCAGTATAATGTTTTAATACAAGTTTTCAACGGCATTATTCGACTGGAGAACTATCTTATGGTATAATTTACTAATACTTACCTTACACAGATATCAAAAAGTTTGACCATAGTAAGTCGTACAACATAGAAGAATCAAGATGGGAAGAAGATACGGTCGGTCCATATTAAGCTAAGAGGACCAAACGTAACTCGCTATATTTTTATGTTGTATACGTTACCATATAAATTTATTAATATTGAAAATTGAAAATTCATATTTTTGGCTTTGTGTTTGATGTCGGAATATGGAAAGAGGAGAGAGATGAGATTTTGGCACAAAGGAAGCTGCCAAAGCATTAGGGCAACAGAGTAGTAACGAGATCAAACATCGGTTCAATCGGACGGTTGGGGTTTGACCAATTTTTCTCGGATATCTTATGGACCCTACGGTCTGACTTGAACCTGATCAGTCAATTCTACAACTTTGTTATTCAATGTGATCATTAGAATTTACATGTTAGCTTCAAAACAAATACTAATATTCATTTACTATTGATCGGCATAGTTTTCATGTAATCAGCTGAAGGTGAAATCATATTTGTTTATCGTCTAAAATTAAAGTTTACTCACGCATTTATCCCACATTCGATAAGACTTATAACAAGAAACAAAAGAAATTAAAAAAAATCAAAAAGCTTATGTTCAGAAATAAATAAAATCAAAATGCTAGAGAAAATGAAGATAGCTTCGATAGAGAAAGAGTAACAGCTTTATACGGAGGCATAGCTTTAGACACGATCTCTGCTCTTGTTTTTTTAAACACTGAATCCACAGTAAACTTAGAGCACTCTCAATGGGGTTTCTAAACATTGGTTTTTTAAATAAAATTAAAGTGTAAGTATAGATAAATAATATTTTTTAATTATGGGTACCTTAAATTGAGAGAAACTTAGTCCAATTGTTTCTTAGTTAAAAAATAATTGGGCTAAGTTTCTCCAAATTTAAGGTACCCATCTAATATTTAAATAATATATATATTTTATTATTTATTAAGGATCATGTTTAGAAACCCCCATTGAAGTTACTCTAACTACTCATATTTACATTTATTACATTTTTTTTACTCTTTTATTTATTACAAACTACTGTTCTACCAAATGTGTTCCACCTAGTGGTACCATATATATATATATTTTTTTTCGCTAACTAGTGGTACCATATCGAACCCCAAAATTAATCAATCTAATTACATGGTAGAAAAATAAAGATTTTACCAAAGGAGACAAATCTGATCGATATTTATAAAACCATGAAAACCTGTAAAAAATATTGAAATCTCAAAAAAAGAAGATAGAAAAATCTTCAAGAAAGAATAGCACTAAACCAAACCGGTCAAACCGGTTACTGGCATCATTTCACCCAATCACTATCAAATTCAAAGCATTAACTAATTTATCACAAGGAAGAGCATGGATTGATTCTCTACATCGCAGTCCATGATAAAATTTTCTATCCACCGTTGGATCAAACTTTCTTATGATGCACGCGCGCGTCAACTTGATTTTACCCAACAAAGGAATGTCTTTTCACCGGACTCTTAAAAGACGTTCTTTTTTTTTTTTTTCCTTTGCATTGGAAAACGGCGTTTTACTTTCA